CGGATGTGACACAAATCTGCAACCAAAGATGAAAAAAGTTGGTCTCATTTTCTCCATGTTCTTGATATTTCACTGAGAAGATCATCAAAATTGAGGTGACTGCAGATGAGGACAGAAACGATAAAATGAATGAAAACTACTGTTATCAACACTTTTGGCTAGATAAATAACTTAAAAATAGTGCATCTTTGAAACAGTATATAAAAATTAATGTCTATTCTGGGATGGTGGACTTTAACACCATGTTATGTAGGAATCCTTAGTCTTCAAAAATAAGGACAAATATCTAAGAAAAGAAAGAATGCACTGTTCATGTGGATTTCTTAAGAAAATCGCTTTTGGGGGGGGTAAAATATGGGTAAGGGATGATGCACTAGCTACTGTATGCATTTTGGACTGTTGTTTTCAAACAATATAATTTACTGGGATGTGTGATCTTATTGAAAAGCACCTCAAGACAGAATCCAGAAACAGCACAGAAATTGATATCCTTCATATTTTGAATGTGGACAATTACAAGTTTATATGCTGAAACAATCTGGAATTCTGATAATCTGTTCTGAAGTTTCAGGGTGTGTTGAAATTCTAAGAATTCATGCTGCAAGACCCTTCAGACTCCTATTGGACATGGAACTGAACTCTCCCAAAATCACAGAGGTGACTGAGTTCATCTTAGTTGGCTTCCAACTTTCCAGGATCTTGGAATGCTTCTTGTTTTGGATGTTCCTGTTGATTTTTCTGCTTACATTAACTGGGAATTTCACCATCATCTCACTGGTATGCATGGACCAACGCCTCCAAACCCCCATGTACTTCTTCCTCTGCAACTTGTCTCTTCTGGAGACTTTCTTTGTCTTGACAATCTGCCCAAAGATGCTCGTCAGCCTGATTTCTTCGAACAAAGCTATTTCTTTTGGGGGATGTATTGCCCAATGCTATTTCTACTTCTCCTTGGGTACCTGTGAGTGTGTTCTTATTGCTGTGATGGCCTTTGATCGCTATGTTGCTATCTGCTACCCACTCCATTATGTCATCATCATGAACAAACATCTCTGTGTCTTCTTGGTTCTGGGCTGCTGGACTGGGGGATTCCTTCTCCTTCTCATTCCACTGCTCTTCCTTCTCAGTCTGTCTTTCTGTGGCTCTAACCTCCTTGACCATTATTTCTGTGACTATGCCCCAATTGTAAAGCTTTCTTGCAGCAAGAATGTCCATTTCCTTTTGGACTTTGAGATAGCTTTCTCTTTAATGGTGCTGCTCACCTCCTTATCTGTCAACGGGGTCTCCTACCTCTATATTATTTCCACTGTCCTACGGATGCATTCCACCAAAGGCCAGAAGAAGACCTTTTCCACCTGTGCTTCCCACATTACAGTAGCTACCATATTCTATGGCAGTTCCATCTTCATGTACTCCTTACCCACCAAAGGACGTTCGCAGGGTGTGCAAAAATCCATTGCACTTGTCACTGCAGTTATTACTCCATTATTGAATCCTTTTATTTACATTCTGAGAAATCAGAAGGTCAAGGATGTCTTAAAGGAGTGTCTAAAGAACTCTTTTCCATATTGAGAACCGTTTACACCAGTGGTTCTCAACCTGTGGGTCTGGACCCCATTTGGGGTCGAACGACCATTTCACGGGGGTCGCCAAACAAGGCTGTCTGCCATTTTTCCTCTTTTTCTTTGGCCACGCCCCTGGCACCCAGTGATGTATAAGTGGTTGGGGGTCACCACAACATGGGGAACTGTATTATGGGGTCACGGCATTAGAAAGGTTGAGAACCACTGGTTTACACCTATCTGCATTTAGCAAGCTTCATTTCAGGGTTGCAGAAATTGATGGAAAACTAGTTTATGCATGGATAGTATATAGGAAATTTGATTCATATTTGTAGGTCTAGTAATTTCTTTGCCTTTTTATATGTGGAATATATATATATATATATATATATATATATATATATATATATATATATATATATTTCATTTATATGTTTTCCTTATTTTGGTGTTCAGAACATTCTAATGACATTACTAACTTCTCAATGTATGGCAATAGAAGATTAATTAATTTTCAATGGATTTGCATTTTAGCTATGGACATTTGTGGACTTTTAAATTCATATATTTCATGGACTGTATATGTTTACCTTATTCTGGCATTTCGAATGACCTAACGACATTGCCAACTTCTCAGTGCATGGGAATAGACCAGCACACCAATGTAAGAAATAAAGAATATAAGAAGAGATTTCATCTGAGATCAATGGGAAGCACTGATTGCTTTGGCAAATCACTCCCTTCCTGGACAGCAATTTTGGAGTATGTACACAATAATTTGTTCTGCCTCTAGTTCCGTATCCAGCATGGTAGACCGTTTTTTTATTCTGATTTCTACAAAAAAGAAAGGCTGGCATTTATATCTACTTACAAAAATTAATGAGGTCACTGAATCAGCATGGATTTCATTTCAAGGTGACAGGTTTTGGATTCTATGTGAAGATGTCATCCTAAAAACAAATTGAGTTCCTCAAGAAGCTTCACAAAACTGGCTTCAGTGCTAATGCTTAAGTAGAGAAAGTCAAATTAAAGGGGCAGAAAAAATGACATATATACATTAAGGCCAAAGGGTCTGATTTACAATTAAATCTTTAATGAATTTTGCATTCTTGATAGAATTTACATCTGCTGTCACTGCTTGGATCAGAATGAGAAAATCTGGGATCCAACTTAAACTGCTTGCACCACAACTCACATTTAATGTCATGGGAGACAACTTTTTCACATTCAGGAAGAAAAGCTTTTCAACCATTTTTCAACCATAAATAATTGCAGAGGTTATAATAGATACTATAGGAGTTTTCCCATTCATTATTAAGAAAGTCTGGTGGTTGGTTTTTGTTCTAGTCAAAAATAAATGATGTGAAGACTTTGATGGTTTGATATGCTTATTTTTCTTCTCAATGAAAAAAGGGTAGGAAACTTGATCTTGTATGTTTTCACTATTGTCCTTTTTCATATTGGAAAATTTGTGGATCCAAAGGTCAAAAATGGGGCACGCTATGGATTTGGGGAGGGCTGAAAATATAAGATTTAGATGCAAGAGAATCTTCAGCCTTCCACTACAACCTCAAAGGAGAGAACTGATTTGTATAAATGTCTTCCGATTGCTTCCATTTGAACAAACCTTCCCAGCAAAGAGTAAAGGAAAAAATTGTTAGCTTGCAGCCAAGCCTGCAGGAAGTGCACTGAAGTTGAGTTGCTCCACTCACTGTTTATATATTGCTATAAGGATAACCATAATATTAGACTCCAATAGAGATATTGATATGTTCAAGTGATCTCCTGCATTAAAAAAAATAAGTGTGTCCAATAAAGGGTAATAGAGTATAATTGGTAAATATAGAGTAAAATGGTAAAAAAATTGGCTGTTGCTTCTTTAAAGATGGATTCCTTTAAAATACAACCTATATATTTCATTTTTATAAGTAGTTGATATACTATCGAATATTTCATATACTATTCTTACTATATTGAGCCTGCAGTGTGTGGAAGCAGCCAAAAAGGCTGATACGGTCCTTGGTTGTATAAACAGAGGCATGGAATCAAAATCCCGTGAAATATTAGTATTTCTTTTTAAATCTTGAATAAGGCCACACCTGGAATATTGCCTCCAGTTCTGGCCACCACGTTACAAAAAAGATGTTGAGACTTTTGAAAAAAAATGCAGAGAAGAGCAACTGAGATGATTAAAGGCTTGGAGACAAAAACATGAAGAACAGTTGCAAGAATTGAGTAGGCCAATCTAGAGAAAAGGATTATGGGTGTCATGATAGCAATATTCCATTATTTGATGGACTGATACAAAGAAGAGGGGTCGACTTAATTTCCAAAGTACCAGAAGGCAAGAAAAGAAACAATGGATAGAAACTAATCAAGGAGAGAAGCAACCTGGAATTAAGGAAAAAATTCTAACCAGTGGAACTGTTTGTCTTCGGAGGTTGTAGGTGTTTCACCACTGGAGGTTTTTAAGAAGAGACTGGCCAATTACCTATGAAAAGATATAGGGTCTCCTGAGCAGGGGTTGGACTAGAAGATCTACCATGTTTTCCCCAAAATAAGACCCAGTCTTATATATTTTTTGCCTCCAAAAGAGGCACCAGGTCTTATTTTCAGGGGATGTCTTACTTTAGGATTGCCACAGCCAGGCCTTCAACACCCTGACACCTGCTGCTTGACTTCTTTAGTGGCTGCTTGCTGCTGCTTGTGGCCAGACGCCACATGGCACATAGCGGTGGTGCCGCTGCTGATGGCAGGAGGCCGCGTGGTGCTTTGGGATGGTGCCACTGCTCACAGCAGGAGGCCACATGGTGCTTCGGGCTGGTGTGAGTGGCACCAGCCTGAAGTGCGGTGCGGCCTCCTGCCACCTTACCAGCCATGCAGCTACAAGCAGCCACAGAAGAACTCAGGCAGCGGCAAGATAGGTGTTGGGGCATGGGAGGTCTGGCTGCAGCGGTCCTACGGGTAAGGTAAGTAGGTGTGGGGTGCGTGGGGCAGCTCTACCCTTTCACTCTTGCCCTAGCTTGATTTGTGTCCCTTGCCCCCAAACCAGGGCTTATTTTGGGGGTAGGTCTTACTTTTGGGGAAACACAGTACTAGGTCCCTTTCAGCTCTATTCTCTATTCTGATTATTTTGGAAAATAATAAGTTTGTCAGTGTGTCTCTGTGTGTAATAGAATAATAGAGTTGGAAGGGACCTTGGAGGTCATCTAGTCCAATCCTCTGCTCAAGCAAGAAACCCTATACCATTTCAGACAAATAGTTGTCCAACCTCTTCTTAAAAACCTCTAATGTTCCAGTTACCGTTTGAAAAAGCACCTTTGGGATTATTCTGTTGAAATGACATATCTATTGAACCAACACCAGCCAAAGCACAGGGGAAATTACCTATCCCTATAACATAATGAGATGACACAATTTTTGCACTCTGTGCTTCAAAAACTAACAAACCCTAGGTTGTGGTTTATAAATCACAGCCGTTGATGTGATTTATCACAGATATGAAGGCAGAACGAAACCACAACCAAACTTGGTGTGTGGCATGAGAGAGGGCAAAATAAAGCACCCTACATGAGGAATGTGCACACAATGATTTTCCCTGTCTTTGGGTTTGACATCAATAGAGGAAGAAGTTATAGAGAACCTGATACAGATTCCCCTGCAATGCATTTTATCACTGCTTGAGGAGGTTCTGAGGGAGCTTTGCAAGCCAATCCTGAATACCTCTTACACCACATGCTTCAAAACAATAACAACCTCCATGGTTTATAAGAAGTTACTTCTATGCTCATTGCTGTGAAAAAATATGTATGTATGTATGCAGAAAAATTGTCCTCTGTATATCTGTGACCCAAGAACATTGAGGTTTAATTCTGCTCTGAATATCAACACCGTGACTGCAGAGTTTCAGATTTTTGCAGTAGGTAAAGGCTTTTTAATGTGTGATGTTTAGGATGCGTTTAGAAACAAAACTCAAGCCAATTTTGTTTTACTCCTATAATTCATCATAGGGGAATATGCCCTGCAGAACCCATTAGAACTTACTTCTGAATCAAGTCTCTTTTGATCCTAGTTTATAAGCGTGCAGGTTGTATTTGCCTGGCTGACAAATCTGGATGATGGATATTTTGTCAGAGAGTTAATTAGTCTGAAATTTCCCTGAATAAGCTTTATGTTGAATTCATCTCCCCACTTTACCCTCATGGCAAAATGCTAAGGAGATGTTAACCAGCACAAAGGTGTTGTCCTAGAGTGAACTTCCAAAAGGGACATTTAACAATTAGCAAGTAACCTATTTGCCTTCAGAAGTTCTGGCTGGTCCATCACTGGAGGCTTTTAAAAAGAGGCAGGAGACCCACTTGTGTGGCTTGGTATAGGGTCTCCTGCTTCGGACAGGTTGAACTTAAAGACCTCCAAGGACTCTTCCTACTGTTTTCTTCTGTATTTCTGTATTATCTCTGTTACTATGAATCCTCTTGTAGACCCAAGAAGGGAGGATCATTGGGAAGAAACAAGGGACTGATGAATTTTCTACTGTGTCTACAATGGAGAGACACATAATGTGAACACTTAGCTTTCCAGAGAAGGATCTAATGCTTAGAAAAACGAAAGGAATCATCAGAATAGGACAATCAGCAGTAAGGTGGACAGACTCAGTTCCAGCATGATGAACGTATTATTGGAAGATTTGAAGGACCAGGTTAAAAACAGATCTTCTGTTCAGTAGGAGTTGGAAATGATTTGATAATTAATCTATATTGGACATATTTCCAATTTGGTAATACAGTATTCTTTTTTCTTTTCTTTTATTCCCCATCTTTCTTCCTTATTCAACAATTATCCCAAATTGTGACTGGAGCTGTTGTTGTTCAAGGAAGTTCTGAAAAATTATTCCTCTTCAAGCGAGATTCATCATTTTCTGCTAGTGCAACAGGATAAGTCTTAAACCCAGAGAAGCTGCTAAGCGGTCCAAGTATGTTTTCTGAATGCAGCTGCATTGAGAAGAATGATAGGATCATCTTTTCTTCAGGACTTGAAACATTATCAATTTGAAACACAAGGTTAGTAGCAATAACTACTTTAGCATAGTATTGATAGAAAGCTGTTCAATATTCACTGACCATTATAGAAGATATAAAATTACTGTAAGACTTTTTTTCTCAGAAATACTACATCTGTGCTATAGCAATAGCACTTAGATTATGTACCGCTTCACAGTGCTTTACTGCCCTCTCTAAGCAGAATTTTCTTCTGACAGAAAGAGAAAAATGACTTTTCTCAGGTTAGATGGGAAGAGAGCACTGAACAAATATAAAATAATCAGATACTTTAACCATGGAAAAATAGATTTTTTTCATGACTCCAAGTATGACTTATTTTGGACAGGTGAGAATACAGTGTGGTTTCCTATACTCTCTTAGGATGATGACTACAAGTACCTTGATCCGATTCAAACCATCATTTATTACTTATGTCAGAGACCAACCATTTGATGGTCTACAGAGAATTAAAGCTGGTGAAATTGTGTTCATTTGTAATGGGCAACTGAAACAAAATTGAAGTTGGAATAATCTCTTCTCACTTCACTCTATTTTTAGGAATGAACTAAATGGAAAACAGCACCACAGTGAGGGAATTCATATTGTTAGGGCTGACTAACAACCAACAAATTGCTGTTGGCCTTTTTCTCATCCTGCTTGGGATTTATTTTTTGACATTGATAGGAAACATGTTGATTATTATTATCACATTGGTGAATGCCCAACTCTGTAGTCCAATGTATTTCTTCCTCCGACATGTGGCATGGATAGAGATTGGGTATATAAGTAGCATCATTCCTAAAACACTGGCCAACATAGCCACTGGTAACAAGAGTATCTCTTTAGCTGGTTGCTTTGTACAGATGTTCCTCCATTTTGTTCTTGGCACCACTGAATTCCTTCTACTGGCCACAATGTCTGTTGATCGCTACATAGCCATCTGTAACCCTCTTCACTACACAACCATCATGAATGAACAAATCTGCTCATTATTGGTACTTTGTTGCTGGATTGGGGGTTTGTCACTAATTCTAGTTCCAGCCATTCTTTTCTTTCAAATGCCATTTTGTGGTCCTAACAACATCATCAATCATTTCTTTTGTGACAATGGAGCACTAATCAAACTCTCATGTGTTGAAACCAGTCTCCTAGAACTGATTAATTTTGTGATTGCCACATTCTCTCTGCTTGGGACCTTAAGTGTCAACATTGTGTCTTATGTCAAAATCATTTCCACGATTCTGCGCATCCCATCAACTACAGGGAGGAAGAAGACATTTTCCACCTGTGCATCTCACATGACTGTGGTCTCCATTACTTACAGCAGTTGTGTTTTCATATACATAAGACCCAAAGGCAGCAGCAAATTAGATTACAACAAAATGATGGCCCTTCTCAATACTGTTCTGGCTCCACTTTTGATCCCGTTTATATATTGTTTGAGGAACAGACAAGTGCAGGATGCATTGAGGATTGAACTGAGACAATGGATTGAGTTTTGCAAGAAATTGAAATGATTTGTCATTGATGTGACCTTGAATCAGATTTTAAAGTTCAACTTCTGCTTTCTTAAGTTATAGCATGTGCTGCTTTCAGATGTAATGATCACACACTGAGGTGGTTTACAAGAGGACATGGTAATCAGGAAGCAAAACAACTGATAATCCTCAACAAAATAAAGCACAATATATCAGGAACATGCACACAATATTTTGTTCTGTCTTTGGGTTTGATATCTACAGAGAAACTGACAGAAAATACTTGATAGACGTTTCGTGCAATTTGCAATAGGTTTCTTTGATCCTCGAGAAGTCCCTGTGGGATCTTCACAGTTAGTTTCGAATACATGTTGCACCTTATGCTTTAAAATGGTAACTAGCTTCATTGTTTATAAGAGGCGGCTTCCATGTTCATTGCCCTGAAAATATATGGAAGAAGAAGACAGCAAAACTGCACAGCGGGTACATCTGAGAATGGAGAAAGTGATGCTTCCCAAACATTGAATTAAGGGGTAACATTTTAACAGATGCATTTGCTTTGCCTCTGATTTGTAAGCAAAATCAGCACCATTTCACAATCTAGAAAAATGACTATTACTCACAGAAAATTGCAAGACCATAGCCTAGAGACCATGAACAATTTCTGAATCTGTTTTGTGTATATTGTAACTGGTGAAAATACTGCCTGCCAAATATAAACTAAGGAGAGAAAAAATGATATATATTGTTGCTTTGCCTCTGATTTGTAACATTATTAAAAATATCCTCTATAAAATGCTCTGTTTCTTAGCTGAGAGAGCAAGTGTTGTCAAAAACAAAACAAAACAAAACAAAACCCTCTTTCGTGGTCATGTGTCCAGCATGACTATATGCTGAGGCACACAGAATGCTGCTCCCTTCCTATCAAAGTGGTACCTATTTATCTACTCACATTTCTATGCTTTAGAACTGCTAGGTGGGCAGGAGCTGCAGCAAATTATGGGAGATCAACCTGTTGCACAGCATTCAGGTCTCAAATGTAGGCTGTCAGTTTTCCAGCTAACAAGCTCAGCATCTTTAACTGCTGAGGCATCATGCCCTCTTTCAAAAATATACTTCCCTTCTACTGTCCAATATTCAATAGTGGTGAATATCTGTAGCTCAGGTATAGGATGAGGGTAAAAGTTCATTCTCTGAGCTTGTGGGTTGGTTTCCAAACATTTCATTACCAGGCTAGGTAACATCTTCAGCAGAGTTTAGGGGATGTCAGTGTCAGCATTCTTCTGTTTATAAGGGCTTCAGGTGTGGATGTGTCAAGTGAGGGTCTTGTGGTGGGTCTTGTAATGGGGAGGCTACAGTAGGTCAAGCTCATTGGGAGGTGAACTGCTGATGGAGGGGTGACTTGCATGGGTTGGTTGAGCATTGGTGCTATCTCTGGTTGGCTGTATGACTGATTGAGATTCTGAGGGGTTTGTAGATTGGTTGTAGGTCAATGGTGGGATTCAGCCGGTTCGCACTATTTCGATAGAACCGGTAGCTAAATTTTGTTGAGTTCGGAGAACCGGTTGAACCCATGCAGCTTCTGGAAGTCTGTTCTAGGCCTCAGAAGCCTGGAGGAGGTCTCCCAGGCCTAGACTGGCCCACCAGAAGTGTATTGATGTCATTTTTGGAAGTCCGTTCTAGGCCTTGGAGGCCCAGGGCTGCATCCACACAGAGAACCGGATATTCAGGTATTTGAATCCCACCACTGTTGTAGGTCAATATGTCTATTGATGGAATTGTTTGTGGAGTGCCAGGCTTCGATTGTCCAATATCCCCTGAGGAAAAAAATGATTCTGGAGTAGAACTGTAATCTGAGAAAACATTTCAGACGTGACCCTCTCTAGTTCTTATGAAGATAAGAAAAGGGAGAAACAATATGCATTCAGACTTGCAAGATTCTATTACTACAATCTTTTAATCAAAAGATTGTTAGTGTGATGGAATGTAGTAAGAAGATAGATTTCCAGGTGGGAGGAGTTACATTCCAGAACAGCAAGAGACAACTCAGTCCAGGTATTACATATGAAAGAGGTTGAAGACAGCCCCAATATACTCAGAGAGTATATTGTAGGTGCATATAGTAGTGTTCTGGCAAGATTTTGTCTATAGATGTGACACAATAAAGAACTCAGCTATGAAGAATCACCATTCTTAGCTTTGGATTGGTCAATCAGTTTGATGTCTTTGGTTAACAAGTTTGGTCTACCTTGAAGGACTGACACCTAATTGTTTGAGAAAATTGCCTCAAGTTTTAGAAGAATCAGGTGAACTTTTTTCATAGAGAGAATGAATTCCCTAAAGAACCAGTGGTGCTTGTAAACAAATTAACAAGTTTATCTCTTTAATTAAGATGGGAATTGCTACAGAAGGAACATACAGAAAACCTTCAAGGACATGGGCATAACTTTTGTGATTTACAAAAATGGGAGGATTAATAGAAAAAGAGGAAAGGGTTTGGAGAAGGTATTTCTCCTTCTCATACTGATCTGCATTAGTATTCACTTTGTTTCTCCAATAACACTTTCCTCCTGGTAGCTGAAGACTTTCTGAGTAGCATTTTCTATAATGTAAATTTAATTTTACATTCAATTTAATAATCTCTCAACTATTCTCTGTTTTCAAACTCTTCTTATTGATCACTACAACTTCAAAAGGGATCAAATTATTATTTTTTATTCCAATGTTCTGAAAGAAAGTTTGGACGCATCAGACCTTTTCCATTTTTTTAGAGATTTTGTTCCAGAAATAACCCATAGTGGAATGGCAGAAATATTGAACAAGACAGCTATGGTAACTGAGTTCATTCTTGTAGGCTTCGCCCGCATCCGATGGCTGCAGATTCTCCTCTTTTGGGTCATCCTTCTCACTTACCTTTTGACCATCATGGGAAACCTTCTCATCATCTACATCACTCTGGTTGACCATCGCCTCCATACCCCTATGTACTTTTTCCTCAGGAACTTCTCTGTCTTGGAAATAGGATTTACTTCTTCTGCCATCCCTAAGGCTTTGTTTAACTTGGCCTCAGGCAACAACACCATTTCTCTTGCTGGCTGCTTTTCACAAGCCTTTTTCTATTTTATTTTGGGCACCGCTGAATTCTTTATTCTGTCCACAATGTCCTTTGACCGGTACGTAGCCATCTGCAACCCTCTTCGCTACACAGTCATTATGAACAGCCAATTGTGTACTCAGTTAGTGGTAGGATCTTGGATTATCAGTTTCCTTTATGTCATAACGCCCCTCATTCTATTATTTCGTTTGCCCTTCTGTGGTCCAAATATCATCAATCACTTCTTCTGTGACAATATGCCACTGATCAAACTTGCCTGCATCAACACCCAATTTCTGGAATTGATGGATTTTCTCATGGCCACCTTTACTGTGCTGGGGACTTTGGCTATCACAATAATTTCGTACATTAAAATCATTGCTGCTGTCATGCACATTCCTTCCAGAACTGGAAGGCAAAAGGCTTTCTCCACTTGTGCTTCTCACATTGTGGTAGTTTTCATCACCTACGGGAGCTGCATTTTCATGTATGTCAAGCCCACACGAAGTGGTGGACTGGACCTCAGCAAGACGGTAGGTGTTCTGAACAATGTGGTTTCTCCTTTGCTCAACCCCTTCATTTACAGCCTGAGAAACAAGCAGGTGAAAACAGCTTTGAAGGATGCTTGTGGATGGAGATGAGCATCTTCTAGTCAGGGGAATGAGATATTTGAGAATGAATATAAGGGCATGTACAACATCAAACCGATGACAGCGTGTAGATTCCATACTTCAGTCCTTCAGATGGGAAAGTTAATGAACTAAGAGAAAAGACAGAGAGACTGAGAGAAAGAAAAAAGGACTTTGAAGAATATTTGTTATCCTTTGTTATCCTTGTAGATACTGCTCAATTAATAAAGGGCCTAAAGACTGGGCTCTACCAGTTGGTCTGCGGTTCAAATGGTGGAGTTCCAGTCTGGAGATGGCTGTTGAATTGCTGGCAGACTACACACACACACACACACACACACACACACACACACACACACACACCTTGTTCTCTGCTCTGTATCTGTCCCTCTCTTTTTTTTGGTAATCATATAGCTGTATTTCTCATTATATTCTTTTTCATGGTTTATTTCATTGCTTTGTTACCTTATTCCTGTTTCTTTTCACATTTTTTTTTCATTTCTCCTTTTTACGGTTATAAACCCATCATGGTGAGATAGGGGGCAAATAATTTTAATAAATAAATAAACATTGTATGTACCAGATGAAAAGATTAATTATATGAAAATGTTTACTCAGTCACATTCAGCTGGTGATGACTTTATTTTTTATACAAGTTTTTTTTTTATTATTCAGAATATTAAAATACAAACTTCAAAAAAAGAAGAATAAAATTACAGACAAAACAAAACTAGACAAGGCATTTTTGTTAAGTGCACTTTTTTAAAAAAAAAGACAAGAACACACACACACACACACATATATTGTCTCCCTTAGTTGAATACTAATAGATGTATTACAGCAATAATAGTTCCCCCCCCACGGCAAAATAGACTCACCATTATAAACTTATAAAGTTTCTTTTTCACTTGAAAAACCTGAAAAACATTTTTGTAGCTTAGTGTGGTGAATGAATAAGACATGTGGTGCGTTTGTGATACAGCTTATTTTGGACACGGGCTGAAAAATGAGCTCATTGAATATCTATGTTTCTGAAGTAGAAATTAAGGGTTGATTCAGACGTGTGAAGACCCAGCTTCAGGTCCATTCTCAGCCATGGAAACCATTTGCAGACTTGGGCCAGCTCTCCTCATTTATTTCACCTCCTTCATCTTGCAAGGCTACCATTGAAATGAAGAGAGATCCCATGGAAACTACTGTATCTTAAATTCCTACCAAAATGGCAAGATCTAGATTTTACAAAATGAATTTGTAACATGGCCATTTTGATGATTGTGTTATGTTTTGGTTGATGTTCTCCAAAGTATCTATTAAGGGAAGAACAAAAGATCTTAATATTGCTTCAACTCCCCTCCCGTCTCCAGAATAAGCGAATGTATTCTCGAAGATACATCTAAGAGTTCTCCATTCTGTTCAGTAATTTAAAAGCTATGCCTCCATTTATGTAGTAAGTAAATTAGTATGTCAAAGCTTCATACAAAATGAAAACTAAAATA